GGTGGTTAAAAGATATAAACTTCCAGTTATAAGATAAATAAGTCCTGGGAATACAGTGTACACCATGATGATGATAGTTAACGGTCTTGTATTGTATAATTGAAAAGTTGCTAAATGAGTAGATCTTAAAAATCCTCAACATTATTACAAAACTGTACACCTGAAACCTATATAATTTTATGAACCAGTGTCACCCCAACAAATTCAATAAAAAATTAAAATAAATTCTCATCACAAGAAAAATATTATAATTATGTAATGGTTGTTAACTAAACTTATTATGGCAATCACTTTGCAATATATATGTATATTAAATCATGTATACTTTAATACAATTGATACCTCAATAAAACTGGAAAAAAACTTTGATAATGATGATTTACTTTCTCATCAAAGATAAATGACCTTCTAACCTGATTAGTTTATTCAATAATTCTGAGAGTAAAGAAACACTTCCTTTAGTACAGATCTGGTTTCTGGTTATGTACTTACTCCAAAGCTATATTTTTTAGTCCTCCTGCATACCAGAAACCTCTTACACTTCAACATTTTTGTCTTCCCATAATTTCATATCTATTCTTTTAGATATGAAGGGAGAGGGAGAGCAAAGCATCAATGATGAGAGAGAATCATTGATCGGCTGCCTTCTGTACCCCATCTACCGGAATCGAGCCCACAATTCGGGCATGTGCCCTGACCGGGAATCGAACTGTGACCTCCTCCTAGTTCATAGGTCGATGCTCAACCACTGAGTCAGACCAGCTGGGCCATATTTATTCTTTTTTTTTCTTATTTATTTATTCATTCATTTATTTATTTTTAATAAATCTTTATTGTTCAGATTATTACAGATGTTCTTCTTCCCCCCCTCCCCCATAGCTCCCTCCACCTGGTTCCCACCCCACCCCATGCCTTTACCCCCCGCCACTGTCCTCATCCATAGGTGTAAGATTTTTGTCCAATCTCTTCCCGAACTCCTGAGAATTGTCAGTCCACTCCCTGCTTCTATTATATTCACCAGTTTATTCTGTTCATCAGATTTTTTTAGTGACTTAATTTTTAGATTCACTTGTTGATAGATATGAATTTGTTGTTCCTTTGTTGTTCATAATTTTTATCTTTGCCTTTTTCTTCTTCCTCTTCTTAAAGAATACCCTTCAGCATTTCATATAATCCTGGTTTGGTGATGATGAACTCCTTTAGCTTTTTCTTGTCTGTGATGCTCTTTATCTGACCTTCAATTTTAAATGATAGCTTTGCTGGGTAGAGTAATCTTGGTTGTAGGTTCTTGCTATTCATCACTTTGAATATTTCTTGCCACTCCCTTCTAGCCTGCATGGTTTCTGTTGAGAAATCAGCTGACAGTCGTATGGGTACTCCCTTGTAGGTAACTGACTGTTTTTCTCTTGCTGCTTTTAAGATTCTCTCTTTGTCTTTTGCTCTTGGCATTTTAATTATGATGTGTCTTGGTGTGGTCCTCTTTGGATTCCTCTTATTTGGGGTTCTCTTCACTTCCTGGACTTGTAAGTCTATTTCTTTCACCAGGTAGGGGAAGTTTTCTTTCATTATTTCTTCTAATAGGCTTTCAATATCTTGCTCTCTCTCTTCTTCTGGCACCCCCATAATTCGGATGTTGGTACGTTTGAAGTTGTCCCAGAGGCTCCTTACACTATCTTCATATTTTTGGATTTTTTCTTTTTTCTTTTCTGGATGGGTGTTTTTTGATTCTTTGTATTTCAAATCTTTGACTTGATTCTTGTGATCCTCTAGTCTGCTGTTGGATCTCTGTATATTCTTTATTTCAGTCAGTGTATGCTTAATTCCTGACTGGTCCTTTTCCATTTTTTCGGCATTCTCATTAAGATCCTTGAAGGTCTCACTAAGTTCCTCGGAGGTTTGTAGAAGATTCTTGAGTAACCTTATAACTGTGGTTCTGAACTCCAAATCCAGTAATCTGCTTTCCTCCATTTCTTCCATTTGTGACATGTTTCTTCATTTCTGCATCTTGGCTGCTTCCTTCTGCTCTTGGCGCCTCTGCACCTCCTACCCAGCCTCAATGCGCTTTTTTCTTTCCTTCTAGTTGTAGAACTTCCACACAGCCAGCTTTCCCGTGGTTCTGGATGATCCACTGTTTTGTCTTTTCGTTGTAGTTTTAACATGGTTGTGGGGAGCGGCACGTACTGGTATATACCCTTTGCCACCATCTTGGTTGTTCATATTCTTTATAATTTAAAATATATTGTTCTCTTTAATGAAAGAGTGCAGTGTTGTGATTAATTAACTAAAACTTCATACTTGTATTTCGGAAGATAGGAGTAATGGTTTTGCAAGGTTAGATAAGGTACATGGCACACATTCATGTTGGCATAACAAGAGTTCTTGAATTTAAAACAAGTACACACATATGTTATTACTAATAAACTACTTTTCATTTTTCCAGTTGGCAGAGGTTTTTGTTTGTTTGTTTTGTTTTGAAATAGCTACCTAATGTTTGTTCATTAGATCGGTTCAGCATTTCAGCAGGGGATTTAGAATGAAATTTATGGGAGGAGTTTTGGGGGATGGGTGAAAGGTGAGCGGGATTAAGAAGTACAAATAGCCAGTTATAAAAATAGTCACAGGGATATACAGCACAGGGAATATAGCCAATAGTACTGTAGTAACTATGTATGGTGTAAGATGGGTAATAGACTTATGGGGAGGTTCATTTCATAGGTATATAAATATCTAGCCACTATGCTATACACCTGAAACTAATACAATATTGTATGTCAACTTTAACTGAAAAATAAATTTTGAAAAATCTAAAAAAGTCTTTGAATGTTTCATAACTTTAGATTGAGAAATTCCACTTCTAGAAATTAATTCACTTCTAGAAGTAATGACACAGAAATATTACCACAAAAATATTTCACAGTATTGTTTCTAATAGGGAAGAATGAGAAACAACTTAAATTTCCAACAATACATGTTGGGTAAAATGCATTATATATTCACCCAATGGCATACTATGTAGCCATCCTATATAATAAAGAGCTAATATACTAATTAGACCAAACAACAGAACAACCGTCCAGACATCCTTCTGGATGACTGTGCAGATGACCTTCTGGACGAAGCCGGGACTGTGAGGGCTGCGAGGGGCTGTGAGGGCCAGCTGAGGCTGTGAGGGGCTGTGAGGGTTGAGCCCCTTGCATGAATTTCGTGTACGGGCCTCTACTTAAGAATAATGTTGTAGTATAAATGACATGGAAAAGTGCTAACAATATATTTTTTTTAGTGGAAAAAAAGCTTACAAAACAATTTGCAATGACCTCATTTTAAAAAATAGAACAGTCTTAGAAAAAACAAATATTGACATTTTAAAGGGTTATCTATGGATGGTGAGATTGCAAGTAATTTTTCCTTTTTGTGTGTGCCTTATCTGGATTTTCTAAGGTTTCCACAATGCAAATGAATATTTCCATGATATTAGAACTATAATAAAAATTATCATTTAAGAAACAATTTATTGAGAAAATGTTTAGCATGGAACTTGCCTGTTAGTGTCCTTTCCCTCGAGAGGACCTCAGGAGAGGCAGGAGTTCCCAGGCCTCCTCCCACCGGGAGCATTACTGGAGGCCTGTGGTCTGCCTCTTGGTCGTGTGGAATCCAGCTTTGGGGAAAGTACAAAGTAACCCAAAAGTTTGGGAGGTAGAAGAAATGGCAATTGGGAGATTTTATAGCGTCTGAGCAAGAAGCGCCTTCAGAGAGGATCTAGTTTCTCCGCCTACGTTTCCCTCAAACAGAAGCTAAGGCCGACTCTCAGGGCTTGTCCAAGGCCACACAGCGGGCTTAACGGCAAGGTGAGGCCTTGAATGGGCGGCCTTTCCGCCGGCTGTATTTCGGTAACGGGCGTATTTCCACCAGGCCTTCTACTTTAATGTGCACAGAACCAGCGGGGGGCTTGTTGAAATGCAGATTTTGATCCGGCAGGTCAGGCGTAGGCTTAGGAGTCGGCATTTCTAACCAGCTCTTAGGCGATGCAGATGGTGCGGGCTTTGGGATCACAGCCCTCATGTGCAGCCATGGGGTACCAGTGGGGTAGAGCACAGATTCTGCAGCCAGGCTGCCGGCTTCCCGATCCTAGCTCGGCCGCACATTGATTATTAGTGGGCTGCAGTTCCTTATCCGCGAAATAAGGATAACACCTAACTCAGTGAGGATTTACTACGTTACTGCACGTTACGTATTTAGAACACTGCTCGCTAATATCTAGTTACTAGTTGTTATATTCCCCAGAGCAAGCAGCGGGCGAGGTAGGGTTGGACCAATGAATGAATAACCTTTGGAGAAAAGCTCTTTCTTGGGCGACGAATGTCAGAGAAGGGAAAGGGGAGGGCGCATGGGTGGGGGAGAGGACCACCTCCTGGAAAGCGCTCTCCACGGGGTGGTCGGGAGGGAGCGGGGCGACCGGAAGCCGGGCCGGCCCGCGCCCGAGGACCAGCGCGGCCGCTGCGGGGGAGGGGGGCGCCGCCAGCCCTTTCCGTCTGGGGCGGCGGCGGCGGCTCCGCCCCGGGAGCGTGTGACGCGAGAGCATTCCACGGTTGCTACCTCGTCGCGAGGGGCGGGGCGCCTGTCAGGGTAGCCGCGCGCCGGCGCAGGCGGGCCGGGCTCCAGCGCGCAGTGCCAGCACCAGCACCAGCACCGGCACCAGCTCTGCGCCCGCGCTCTCCGGCCCGCCGCCTGCGTTCTGGCTCGCGAGCCCGCCCTCCCGTCCTTCTCGTGCGCCGCCGAGTATGGAGCTGCTGTGCTGCGAGGGCACCCGGCACGCGCCCCGGGCCGGGCCGGACCCGCGGCTGCTGGGGGACCAGCGCGTGCTGCAGAGCTTGCTCCGCCTGGAGGAGCGCTACGTGCCCCGCGCCTCCTACTTCCAGTGCGTGCAGCGGGAGATCAAGCCGCACATGCGGAAGATGCTGGCCTACTGGATGCTGGAGGTACCGCGCGGACGGGTCTCCCCTCCCCCGCCGTCCCTGCGTCCTCGGCTCCGGACATCCCGGGGCCGCCCTGTTGGGACATCCTGGTCTCGACAACAATCTGCAAGATGCTTCGGTGGCCCGGACCCCCGGGCCCGGCCTTTCACTCGGCACCCTAGCCGGCTGCCTGCGCGGCGTCCCATTCCTTTTTCCTTCCCCAGTCTCGGCTCTGGCACCCTAACTAACCATCTCTTCGGCCGGGAAAGCCGGGCAGGATTCGCCTTCTCCCCATCCGGCTTCGCTAGCGTCTCCTGCTTCTCTCCCCCGCCCCGTCGTCTTAGGAGAGCGCGCCTGGAAAACCCTGGGCGCAGCCGCCCCCGCCCCGGAGCCGGTTCCTGTGTCTGCCGCGGGGTTCTGGCGGGGAGGCGGTGGGGGTGGCGCGCGCGCGGTTCCGGCGGTCAGGGAAATGAAAAGTGCGGGAGGCAGCGGCTGGAGTCTCCTCCCTTCCCTTTGGGTGTGTGCAGTGGGTGATGGTAGCGGGGGTAAGGTCCCAGCTCCGCTGCTGTGGGTGACTCTTGGGGCCCCCATGGGGGAGGGGAGTCTCATTAAGTAAGGGAGCCCCTGGCGTACCTCCCTTGGGGGGGGGGGCGGCGGGGGAGGCGACACGGAGCAAGGGGGCCGTCCCCTTGGGGTGAGCACATCCTCTGTATTAGTCCTTGTCACTGTAAGCACCTTTTCCCCTTCCATGTTTGCTCCCCGTCCCACTTCCCTTCAGTGCCCCCTTTCACCTTCAGTGCTGCTGTGCTTCCCACGTTCCTGCCCTTAAGTGACTGTGTCCTCCCCCCCCCCCCCCCCAGGTGTGCGAGGAGCAGCGCTGTGAGGAGGAAGTCTTCCCCCTGGCCATGAACTACCTGGATCGTTACCTGTCCTGTGTCCCCACCCCCAAGGCGCAATTTCAGCTCCTGGGTGCGGTCTGCATGCTGCTAGCCTCCAAGCTGCGCGAGACTACGCCCCTGACCATCGAAAAATTGTGCATCTACACCGACCACGCTGTCTCCCCCCGCCAGATGCGGGTGCGTGCATACTTTCCCCCGCCCCTAACACATACCCCTCCTCACCGGGAAAAGGAAAGCTAAGCCCTCAGAGGCTTTCTGCCCCCTGGGGGACGGCTCAGGGCCGCAGGGGCTTATGTTTGGACAAAAGATGGGCAGTGCAGTATGATGGTTAGAGTAGCCCCAGTGGAGGCTTAAACTGCCAGCATGAACGAACTCCCCTTCTCCTGACCTCCAGGGGGTGCCACTCCTCTTGGTCTTTCCCCCAGATAGCAACAAGTCAGACTGCATGTCTACACTCACTAGTACTTTGCCTCCGGGTTTACACAACCATCATGAGTTATTTATTGGCAGCAGCAGGACATGCCTGCACACCCCCACTGGAGTGGGGGAGTGGAATGTGCTTCTTGTGGGGGAGGGGGGCTGCTTTGGGTGAGCCTTTATCCGGGTGTGGACTTTGTGATTGAAAAGCCTCCCAGAGCAGATTAAAGCCCAGCCCTGATTGCTCTCAGGAAGGGCTCCAGGAGTTTCATCCCACCTTCTTTCCTTCCTCTTATATCCCAGAAGAGACAGCTCCTTCCTAATCCTCGTTGTGAGGAGCCCGAGCAGCTGCCTCAGGCCTGGTGGAATCATCTCATCTCTCCCTTTCCCCCTTAGCCGGAGGCCAGAGCCGAGGGACAGACAGGGAGCTGAGCTGCAGCTGCTTCCGATGTGATAATGATGCCCCCTCCCCTGGCCCGCCCACTCTGACCATGGTCTTTCATAACCCTGTGGGGAGCTGCTGTCACTCCTGTGGTTTGGGAAGTGGCTCCCTGGGCCCCTTGCTAGGAACTTGGGCTGGGCTCTTCCGAGGCAGGGCAGGAGAGGCAGGGCAGGAAAGTCACCGGGAGGTTCTCTTATCCCAAAGCCTGAGGTCGGGGAGCTGCCTGGATCTGGAGGAGGGGTATGCAGATCACCTCCCAGGGTGGGGGTTGGAGGGGTGGGGGGGCTGGGAGAGGGTGGGTGAGTGGGCACCTTCCTCAACCTCGCTCTATACTGCCAAGTCTTCTCCTGACCCTGAGAGAGTCTCTGGGCCCCATCTCCCGGGGAGGAGGGCAGCGTGCAGGCTGCTGTGATTGGCTGGCCAGGAAGCCAGGGTACTGGGGCCCCCGACTGCTGCTTGTCCAGGAACAGGATTCCTCTTCCTGCCAAGTAGCTCTCAGAGATGGGAGTAGGAGGCCGGAGTTGGGAATCTGGGAGGCCCCACAGCGCTTTGTGATGAATCTGGTAGTTTTTGGCAAGTTTAAAGGTGGAGCTGCTTTCCAGGGCCAGTGGGAAAGATGTTTTTGGAGGGGTTTGGGCTGGAAGGTAAAAGGGGACTTCCTTTTTCGTGTGAGAAGTTTGGGATGGCATGTGTGCCTTTGTACGAGGGAAGTTTTTCAGAACAGGCAAAAAATACTCTTCCCCCACTCTCTCCGCCTGGGCTGGGGGTGGAGCGTGCAGATGGCTTCCTAGAAGGTCAGAGTTGGAAGGGACCTCAGTGAACTCGGCAGTCCAAATGCTTGTGAGAAGGCGGAGGCCCAGAGGCGGAGGGCAGGGTCCTGCCTTGGCCACCTGAAGCGGATGACGAGAATCTGGGCCTTCTCGCTAGCCCAGGTGGCCCTGAAGGCCAGAGATATGATGGAAGTTGCCAGCCACGGCAGCTAAACCCTCCCTGGGGTATGTTCGGTGCCAAACGAGGACTGAGATTCTCAGGGGCTGTCCGGAGACAGGGTAGGGTGGCCACCTTCCCTCACACAGGACCCCATGCCTTCCCACAGGGCCAGTCCCGCTCCAAATTGCCTTTCAGGTGTTTCCTTGGAGGCTAGGTACTTTCTATTCACTTCTGAGTTAGGAGTTTGGCCACTGGGACAAGCACCAGGGGTAGAATGCTAGCTTCTCTGCCCAACTTCTGGCTCCAGGCCAGGCTGTTTTCTGTGGGGCCCTGCAAGAGGTTTTGGGCTGATTTGGGAGGATGACACCTAGGCCGGGGCCGGGAAGAGGTTGGGTGGGGTTGCTATTTCTCTCTCAGTAAGGAGTCAAACCCTTGAGTTCCTTCCTGAGATAAAACAATGAAGAAATCCTCATATGTGCAACTCAGAAATGGGGCCAGGGCTTCGAACCCTAGACAAGTGGATTGGGGCTCCCATCTGCCTTCTGGGATCTAGCAGGGGTGTGCAGGCTCAGGCAGGTGGAGATCGGGTTTGGTCCCTCGGAGACCATCCAGACCCATCTTGTTGGCATGGCCTCCACAGCTCTTTCCAAGACTCAAATGGCACTAAGCACTGTGGGTTCCAGTTGAAGGGGGTGGGGTGGGTGTTATATCTCAGGACCCAACCCTGATGTCCCACCAAGGGGATGTGGGTTGGGTTGGGCAACGTCCCCTTTGAGGAACCTCAGAGTTAGTTCAGTGACTGTATCAGAGGTGGTGTGGCCTCATGCTCACTCGGGTTTCTACAAGAGGCATAGGCTTGGCTGGGATGCAGAGTTGGGGAGAGGCTAGTGGTGATTTCCCCTTTTACAAATCCTTGGGATTATGGAGAGTCGGCTTTACCCCAGAGGAGCCTCAAGTTCATAGAGATGGTGGTGGTTTCTGTTGCTGCTGTCTTTTCATTCAAGCCCAGCTGGAGAAGTGCTCAGAGCCTTGGGTCAAGTCAGAAAAAGGCCTGTATTATTGGCCCCCAAAAGATAACCAAACAAGATCAAAAGACAGTTCACGTACAGCAGGTAGTCTGGCACGTAGTAAAAGACAAACAAATGCTTAAAGCAAATGACCCCAGCTCTTCCCTGCCCTGGACTCTCCATGCCACAGTGCCAGTCCCTAAACCCAGAAGCAAAACTGGGGTCTTGACCTTCGAGTTTGATGGGCATCCTTCTCCGTTACTCTCTTCCCTTGCCTTCTTTAGTCACTGACCCCACCTTCTTCTCCAACCTCCAGGACTGGGAGGTGCTGGTCCTGGGGAAGCTGAAGTGGGACCTGGCTGCTGTGATTGCCCATGACTTCCTGGCCCTGATCCTGTACCGGCTCTCTCTGCCCAGTGACCGACAGGCCTTGGTCAAAAAGCATGCTCAGACCTTTTTGGCCCTCTGTGCTACAGGTAATACACTCCAGGCATATTTTTGCCAAATCAGGAAAATCAAGACGTGGGAGGGTCAGAGGAGATGCTTGTTACATGCCTTTCAAAATTTGTGAAAATTATGTCCCCTCTGAGCCCCCCGTTTCAATACAGAAAAGATGCAGAGCACAATCTCAGCTGAATGGGATCTTAGAGACCCCAGTACAAATGTAGGTGGGGACTCAGGGCTTAGAGAGAAGTGATTGCCCAAGGTTTCACAGTGATTAAATTAGGAGCAGAACCCAGGTCTCCACCCTGGTTTTGTTTCCACACCAGGGAGAGAGACTCATTCACTCCCTGGTGCCTGGCCTGGGTCCCTTAGGGACCACCCTGGACCTGGCCTGCACAGGTCTGCTATTCACCGACCCTCCAGGAAATAATCTCTCCTACCTCTCTCTCGCCCCTGGCTGACACAACTCACTGCTGGCATTTTCCAGGATGCCCCTGCTCTGTTCCTGCTGCCTGGCACTTTCTGAGGGATAGGAAGTCTACCCTGGTTGTTATTCTTGATGTACTCCTTGCATCATGGTTCCCTCTCTCTCTTCCCAAGATTACACCTTTGCCATGTACCCACCATCCATGATCGCCACAGGCAGCATTGGGGCTGCAGTGCAAGGCCTGGGTGCCTGGCCCGCATCCGCAGATGAGCTCACGGAGCTGCTGGCAGGGATCACAGGCACTGAAGTGGTGAGTGCTGGGCAGCTGGGCAGCAGCCTGTCAATTCATGAAGCGCTGCTATTCCCTGAGCCTCCAGTAGAGGGAGGTGTCCATCTCCAACCTGGTGCCTTTCACGGGCCCTGCCCTTGGAGCTTCTGTGGCGTTTTATCTACTGCCTTGTCTGGGGAAAAGCAAGTTGTCTTGGGTGGGTTGCAGGGCACCATCCCTTGGTGCCCTTTTCTGCCAAATGGTGTTCAGGAGTGGGGGTGGGAGGCTTAGTGTCGGATGCAGGGCTGCGCTCACACCCTGTTGCCACATCCTCTTGCCAGTTTCTGAGAATTGAAGGCTGATTCCTGGGGCTGGGCTGTGGCTTAACCTCCCCAGACTTCCCTGTGTGCTGGGAGGTGTCCGTCCCCCGCACCTGCTGCCAGATGCTATGGGAGGAGGGAAGTGGACCTTTAGCTCCAATGGGACCTTCCTCCACCTCACCCAGCATTCCCTCCTCACTGTCCCCCCTTGTTCCCAGGACTGCCTGCGGGCCTGTCAGGAGCAGATTGAAGCTGCACTCAGGGAGAGCCTCAGGGAAGCTGCCCAGACGTCCCCCAGCCCAGCACCCAAAGCCCCCAGAGGCTCCAGCAGCCAGGGGCCCAGCCAGACCAGCACTCCCACAGACGTCACAGCCATCCACCTGTAGCCACGGAGAGGCCCCCTCCAGTGGCCACTGACAGCAGAGGAGGGTCCCTGCCACCCTCCCTCCCTGCAGGAACAAACCACGTCGCATCTGCCACAACTGAAGTCTGGGGGGGCTCCTTCCTATTTGCCCTTTGCTAAAGAGAAGGGGGCAGGTCCTGCCTATCCCTGCCGTGTGCACTAAGGGGCCCGGCCAGCCACGTTTGGGTGGCTAGTCAAGCCCCTCCTTCTCCCTGCCTCTGACCAGCTCAGCTCCTTCCCTGGTTCTGGCTGGGGGTGGGTCAGCTGGTCAGAGACAGAATTGAAGAAGGTAAAATAGATGTAACCAGCATTCCTTATTGAGGCCCCCTGTCTCTGGGGCTCTCACGTTCTCAACTGCCAAAATGCCCTGGTGCCTTATAAAGGTGCTGCACCTTCTAGAGTCACTGCATTTGGATTGGGGTCTTTCTGAAGAAATTTCTGATATTCTGAGGGGACACAGTCTGGACAGCTCTTCTCAACATACTTTGGAGAGCCCTGCATAATCCGTGCGCACAGCTGCTCCTAGAGGGAGGGGCCCAGGCCTCTGTCAGAGATTCCAGAATCAACCAGTTCCTCCTCGCTTTGCTTTCTGCCCAGTTTCTCCTGTGATTGAGGGGGGTCAGTGCTGAAGGAAGAGGTGGTTTTAATTTATTAATTGTGTTGAATACAACTGTAAGAGGGTGTGGTGGGGCCCACCAGCCCAAGTGGTGGTGACCCTGGCGGTTGCTGCATCCCTCCTCTGCTACTGGCTAGAGGATCTTTGTGACCGAGGAGCTGCTACGGCCTGGGAGGGGCCAGGCCCTCCTCTCCCTTTGGCCCTGTGCCCCGTCCTGCATCAGGGGATGAAGCAGGGGTGACCTGGAGGTGACCAAGCCCGCTGTCTGAAGATGCAAACCCTGTTAACACAGGTCTTTCCTAAGGCCACAAGGTCCAGTTGCTGGCCCAGGACCATCATGCTACCTTAATAAAGATTGTGGAATAAAGTTGGCCTTGGCTTCTTGGATTGGATGGAGGTGAGGGTAAAAGCATGAGGTAAAGAGGGCAGAAATCAGTGGTCCATCAAGCCACTTATGTAAAGGGCCAGAGTAAATATTTTAGGCCTGTGAGCTATCTCCTCTGTCCCACAGTCAGTGCTACTTTATAATGGAATGTGTGCTTTCCTAAAAATCATTGTTCTTGCAAAACTGCCTAATAAAATCCATAGGACTTATGTATGGGCACAGCATGCAAGAACTCAATGAGTGATGTTTTTTTTTTTTTTTAAAAAGTACTTATTTCAGAGGGGGAGATACAAACGCCAATGATGGGAGAATCCTCTATGGCTGCCTCTTACATGCCCTTTACTGGGGATCAAGCCCACACCCCTGATCCAACCCAGGTGGTTCATGGATCTATGCACAATCACACAGCAGGGTTGAGTGACATGTTTATTTCTTCAAAATATATTTTATTGATTCTTTACAGAGAGGAAGGGAGAAGGATAGAGAGCCAGAAACATCGATGAGAGAGAATCATCAATCAGCTGCCTCCTGCACACCCCCTACTGAGGATGTGCCCGCAACCAAGGTACATGCCCTTGACTGGAGTCAAACCTGGGACCTTTAAGTCTGTAGGCCAATGCTCCATTCACTGAGCCAAACCAGCGAGTGACATGTTTTTTTAAAAAAGAGGGGCCTGGCTGCCTTGGTTCAGTAGTTGAACGTGGACCTATGAACCAGGAGGTCATGGTTCAATTCCTGGTCAGGGCACATGCCTGGGTTGCAGGTTTGATCCCCAGTCTGGGGCATGCAGGAGGCAGCCAATCAATGATTCTCTCATCACTGATGTTTCTCTTCCTCTCTGAAATCAATAAAAATATATTTTAAAAAAAGGATAGCATAGTTTTTATATACTATATGGTTAAGAAACACAAATATAACAGTCCTTTATCTTCAAAAACACCTGAAGTTTGCTTGTGGAAGCAGAGGTTGGGAGGATGTGAAAGGCAGGTTGTGGATGTGACGCCCAACCCACATGTCAGAGTGTTTGCACTTGTGTATCTGGCTTGGTTCAGCTTGGTGCAGTTTTCTGATTTTATGTGTTGTTTCTCAAGGACAAAACTGCATAGAATATATGTGCTATTTGTTTTATGATAAAATTGTTCCCAAATATATTAATTGGGTTGGAACAAAGTGACATTTTCAAAGGCAAACAAGGGTTCCAGGATTGTACTCTGCTATTGCAGCATGAAAGTAGCCATGGGAAACATGTAAATAGATGGGAGTGGCTGTGTTCCAATAAAACTATGGACACTGGAATTTGAATTTCACATCATTTTCACTTACCATAAAATACTCTTTAAAAGAATTTTCCCGTCCATTAAAAAATGTAAACACCATTCTTGGTGTTCATGGCCATAAGAAATGGGCATATGTCCCTAGTTTGCCAACCTCCAGTCTAATGCTCTCAGCCAGAAAGGGAACTTGTCTGGTGGTGATCCAGCTCTAACTATCCTGGGCACAACCAATATTCTCTGATCTGTCTGGCCTTTGCATTTCCACTTCCCTCTAGGGCAAGCATGTCAAACTCGTGGCTCGTAGGCCAAGGCCTACTTTATTTGGCCCATGTCAGCCTTTGAGTTTGACATGCTTGCTCTAGGGCAGTGGTCGGCAAACTCATTAGTCAACAGAGCCAAATATCAATAGTACAACGACTGAAATTTCTTTTGAGAGACAAATTTTTTAAACTATATAGGTAGGTACTTTGTTATTAACTTAATCAGGGTACTCCTAAGGCTTAGGAAGAGCCACACTCAAGGGGCCAAAGAGCTGCATGTGGCTCGCGAGCCGCAGTTTGCTGACCACGGCTCTAGGGGCCCTCTCCTCTAGCTCTTCCACCCACAGCTGAGACAGACCTTCTTTTGAACCTCCTGGTTCCTGGCATTCTCCCAAAACAGCCTGTATTGGGGAAAGGCAGAGACGAGCCCCGTAGGGGCTAACTCTGGGTATAGCCTGGAGGAACGAGCTTGGAGAGTTAGGATAGGGGTGGGCGTCCTCAGTATACTGGGTAAGAATCCACTCCTAAACAGGAACAGGGAAGAGTAATCCCTACCTTTAGATAAAGAGGGAAAACAGAAAGATCTGCATTGATGACAATAAAACAGACGCTCAATAAATACCCGCCTTTTCATCCACATCCCAGGGACTTGACATGGCCTGGGAGAAAGAACTCCAAGCCCCAGCAGGGCAGTGGGAATCCTGGGGTGTGGATCTCAAACAGGTTCCAGAACTGAGCAGGAACAACGGCCTGACCCTCGGTCCGCCCTGCAGGGTACCGGGGGGTCCCAGGTGCCCAGGAGCTCTCACTGCCCAGTTGTAAAGGCTCGGTGTCACCTTAACTGGGATCCTGGGATCCTCCCACACCCCTCAGACCAGGATGAGTGGCTGTTTCCTCAGTCCATGGTGATGGGAACATCTTCCACATCTCGGGGCACTGCGCTCTGAAGCTCACGCCTGATCTCAGGGGACAGCTGGGGATGGGGCTGCAGCCGGAGCAGTTCCAGGAGGGCCTCTTTCTGCTCCATGGCCAGGTCTGCCTTATAGCGCTGGGCCAAAGTCAGGAGGCACTGGTGCCAGAGCACGGGCAGTTCACGCTTCTCCGTCCGGAACCCCAGGAAGTGGAAGACCAGAGCGTCCAGCACCCTGTAGGGCAGTGCGTACTTCTTATCCAGCAGCAGCCGCAGGAAGATGCTGTTGGCACCGCTGTAGTCCATCTCAGCAATTTTCAGCATGGCCGCGCTGGTGGGAAGATGGGTGGAGTTAGTGGTGGGGAAATGTTGGGGGAGAGGGCCTACCTCTCCCTCTGTGCTTTCCCCCTCTTCTCCTCTACTGGCCCTTACACTGTGTTACGCCTAAAAGGGCCATCTCAGGCCTTCTCACCTATGCAGTGCAGTCTTTTTTCGAGTAGTTTTATTTATTTAACTTTTTTTTAAACGTTTTTATTGATTTCAGAGAGGGAGAGGGATAGAGAGATAGAAACATCAATGATGAGAGTGAATTACTGATCACCTGCCTCCTGCACGCCCCCTGCTGGGGATCAATCCCACAACCCAGGATGTGCCCTTGGCCGGAATTAAACCTGGGATGCTTCAGTGGGCAGGCCAACGCTCTATCCACTGGGCCAAACCAAACCAAACCAAACCGGCTAGAGCACCTGTGCAGTCTTGATCCTCCTCCCCCTGCACTCCAGTTATCATCTCTAATTGGGATGCTGATTCATCCCAAATCCCTACTCCTGGCTCAGAGTGCATGTCTCACTCAGTATCCAACTAGAATATATTCAAATATTTCAACATCTCCACCCCTGACTTATTTCCTTCCCATGTTCCCTATTCATTCCTTCAACTATTTACTGAGCACCTGCCAAGTGCCAGGCACTGGGACCCTGTTCTCACGGAATTACAATCTAGTGGAGTAATGATGTACCTAGTGGCTTAAGCCACAAAATCAGGGCTACGGTATTCTCAGCTCCTTCTCCACTCTGTACCCCCACCAACTTTCCAAGTCCTGGTGATTCCACTGATCAGTCACCCTTTTCCCCCCGGAGTGGGAACACTACCTGGAGTGCAGCACAGGAATGGAGCATTTGGTGATGATGCTACCCACGATGATGGCTTCCCGGAGGGTACAGGTGCCGGACTCACACAGTGGGATGAGGATCCCTGGGGAGGGTCAGAGGGGCAGTCACTTTGAGTTGAGGGTGAGAGAAAGGATGCAAAGCAGGAAGCACCCCCACCTACCACAGAGCCAGCCATCTCCCAAGTCATACTTACTGCTATCATCTGCAGGAGCTCTAGCCCCTCCCTTTCCTAACTGCCTCCTGGGTTCTCACCTTTAAACCAGGCTCCAGGCTTAAAAAGAGCCTTCTTGAGTGCCATGTAGAGGTGGAAATTGAGTCGTTTGTATTCAGCAATATCATCTCGTACCCGGGGGAGCAGGACAAGGTTGTAGAAGCGCTGGGCCATGCGTTCCTTCAGGTTAGATGCGAAAATCCTAGTTTTTTTGGGGGGTAGCAGGGACATCCCAGGTCACTTGACAGCCTGGAGCTGGCCCTTTAAATATCACTGTGGATGGTGCATGCAAAAGATCTGAGGGGCTGTGAACTATGTGCATGCAGCACCCCAATCAGATAGGAGGGAACAGGAGGTCTACAAGATGCATCCAAACAGGTGAACACCGAGAGCCAGAGTGCTCCCAAACCAATGGCAACTAGCTATTCACCTTCCTCTCCCCATCATGGGCCTTCTCTACCCTACTCTTTGAGGGACCTGAGCACGTGTGGGGAGCCACAGACTTCTGAGGCCTGTCTGACACCCCAGGGTGGTAGCCCAGTAGTTATAAGCCTCTTCCCCAGAAACTCATCACAGGCGATTTTCAACAGGGTCTTGGCCCCAAAACATGAAACAGGAAAAGCTGGGAAAATGATGATATAAAGAAGCACAAGAGAGAGCTCTGGGGCAAAGTTAAAATGTAATGCAGCCCTGGCTGGTGTGGTTCAGTTGGTTGGGCGTCATCCCATGCACCAAAGGGCTGCTGGTTCTAATCCCAGTCAGGGTGCATGCCCTGGTTGTGGGCTCGATCCCCAGTCTGGGGGGGCCTGTGGGAGGCAGCCAATGTTTCTCTGTCTCCCTCTCCCTTTCTCTCTCAATAAAAAATATTTTTTTAAAAATTTAATGGCAGCCCTAGCCGGTTTGGCTCAGTGGATGGAGCATCAGCCTGCAGACTGAAGGATCCTGAGTTTGATTCTGGTCAAGGGCACATGGCCGGGTTGCAGGCTCGATCCTCAGTAAGGGGTGTGTGGAGGCAGCCAATCAATGATTTTCTTATCATTGATGTTTCTCTCTCTCCCTCTCCCTTCCTCTCTGAAACCAATAAAAATAAATACATAAAATAAAAATATAGAGAAAAAAAAGTAATGGCAAAGACCAGGAAAACCTGTACCCCCCTGCCCCCAGCCCTTTACCTATAGACCTAAGGCCACTCTAACTCCCATCCACTCTACCTTGTGGCTTGGTACATTGCAGCAGCGGTCCAGGCCTCAGGCTCTGTGACATAGAGGATCTGCTCCCAGTTGGAGAGTGCAGGGATGATCTTAAATGCCTTCGGCAGCTTCCCACTGCGGTACTTGGATAACACCTGGGGATGAGGGAGTAATACCATCGTTGCCAAGAACACACATCCTGCTTGCCGAGTGCCAGGTACTTGTCCGGGGGCTTTTCATATGTTCACTCACTGAATCCTCACAACTACCACATAAGGAGATGCTATTATCATCCTCATTTTCCAGATGGGGACACGGAGATCTTACCCACAGCCACCAAATCACTAAGGGGTGCAGCAGGACTCTGAACCCATACACTCTGACTTAAGACTGTTCTTGGCCACAGGCCTTCTGTGTATGAGATGTGGGCACCCAAAACCTTAGGTGGGAGCCCACAGCCCCTGTAAAGGTATTCCAGCTCTTACCTCCCGGACTCCTCTGTAGACCTCTAGGACCCGTGGGTCCAGTTGGGGCAGAGGGAATCCTGTCACCTCGGACATGACTGTTTCAACTTCCGTCTGCTTCTCAGTCAGCTTCTCCATGATGATGTCAGCCAGGGTACGCCTAAGAGTTGGGAGTGGGGTGCAGGGGAGAGGGGAAGGAAGGGGCGGGAGTGCTGTGGTCACAGTCCAGGAAGCTCCAGACTCCACACAGTTTCTTATGAGCGCCAATATACCAGAAAAAAAAAAGTAATGGCAAAGACCAGGAAAACCTGTACTCCCATGACCCCAGCCCTTGACCTATAGACCTAAGGTCATCTTGCTGGGATATGCGACCTCAGTTCCCCTCTGGGCCGGACCTACCATGGAATCACTGCAGAGCACAAACGACCTGAAAGTCATTCAACTTGGGATGAAGCAGACAAATGTGTGGAGGTTAAGAACCCGGACTCTGAAGTCAGTCTGCCTGGGTTTAAATCCTGGCTTTTCCACTACCTGTATAACCTTGGGCCTGCTATTTTGCCTCTCTGCTTCTGTTTTCTCATCTGTAAAAGGGGCAATAACTATATCTACCTCATAAAGTTAACGTCAGGATTAAGCGAATTAATACATGTACGTTACTTGGAACTATCAATACATGGAAAATGTGTAATGTGTTGCCAATTTCAGACAAATCCCTTACATGCTGAAGTCTCTCCAATTATAGAATACTGGTCTGACCTCTTAGTTATATACCAAGATTGCAAGTAGCTGGGATAATTTGGGAAAACACCAGGGCACAATAATATTTTTCTCTCATTAAACAGTATATCTAACATAACTTTAGTGTGATGACTCATAATTCTCCTTACATTGGGCTTTGATATAAGAATGGTATCTCCAGAGGCTGCTAACGTATATTTAAAACTAAGGGTCTTCTCAAGGCCAGGCACTGAGCACAGGATTTCTCAGATGTTGACTTAGATAGTCCGTGCAACACCTACACTGGGTGTCATTCGCCTTATTCAACATGGGAACTGATACTCAGACAGGTTAACACGCACCCAAGGTCTCAGGGGGGGAAGTCAAGCCCCGTTGCTCAGGTTCTAAAGTTCAGGTACTTTACAGCACACAGTAACGTGCCTCCAAACTAAACAGCCTCTGATTGCTGAGCTCATGTGGGTCTGGGCCTGCTTTCTGAAGATACCAGCTGTCATTTCTCAAAACTGCCAGGAGTAACTGTTTGTAGGAGCTTCACTCTTCCATTTACTGCAAGCTGGAAAACCATTCTGCCAGGTTCGTCAGAATGATCGGTGAAAAAGGAGTTATAAGGCACTGAGAGGCTCTCTGGTGGGACAAGCACACGAGTCCAAGTACACCCTCTGTGACATCTATTTCAGTTGCTGGGTATCAATCTGAAAGAGGAACTCATCCCTTTGTTCTGTGCTCTCAAATAAACTACCACAGGCCTTATCATTCAGCCTCCCTGTGTTTTCATAGTATTATTAGCAATGAGAGATGCATTAACCCAAAGTAGCCTGCAGAACTACAAGGACAATGTCATGTTAATGTCACAGGATCAGAATGGACTGGTTGAGGACCGTAATCCTAGATTCCCCTCTCCTGGGCCAAAATCCACATGCTCAGGGGTTTGACTACAGGAGCTCAAATGCATACATCATCTGGAGTAGCATCTATTACAGATGGGCATAAATTAGTGGTTCTAAGTGGGGGCGAATCTGCAATGCCTGAGACATCTGGCAATGCCTGAGACCTTTTTGGTTATCACAACTGGTGGGAAGGCCACTCCTGGGATCTAGTGAGTAGAGGTCGGCAATGCTGCTAAACACCCTACATTGCACAGGTCAGCTTCCACACACAAAATTATTCAGCCAATAGTGCTAAGGCTGAAAAACCTTGAATAAAATGAAGCTTAGGGTGCAAAAGAGATTTGGCCAAGGAAACTGAGCTTACCCCTAGAGTATGCCAAGACCAAATGCAATGGAATACATCTCCCTAGAAACATAAAAATGTCAGGTAGCTGTCTCCCCGGGTAAGCTGAGCAGTTCTAGAACAGGTGGACAGAGGGGGAGGAGATATTTTGAGTCTGTGTCATTCTCACTCAGAATGGTCGTCTGAGGATGGGCCACTTTTGTTAAGGTGGATCCCTACAACTAGCAACGCGCAGGCCCTTCCCAAGGGTAGGGAATCAAAACGCTGCCAGAGCATTTGCTTCCTTGTGGGAAGTGGCTACCAGGACCCACTTCCCCAAATTCTAGGCCATGTCAGCCCTACCTGACAGGAGGGTTTTTATTCATGAACATCTCAATGGCACGCTCATCCTCAGGGTCCACAGCCACCTCTGCATGCTGGCCGGCCCCTGTCATCGTGGCAGCCTTCTCCAGGGTGGGCCACTCTTCGTCCTCGTCATCTGATCCATCCTGCGGCACTCCTGGACCTAGAAGAGGGGAGGTGAAATGGATGAGAAAGGCAAGCGGTGGGGGAGGGATTTGGAGGTCAATTTAACTTTAACCACCATGGACAGTGTAAGCCTCACGTGTGCTTGTGATAGATGGATGTGTGCAGTGAAACAGTGGTGCACACACTACCTTCCTGTACCAGGGACTTACAATCTTGCTTGAGAAACAAAATGTACATATGTGAACCAATGACACAGTGATGCCAATATATCATAGTTAACACATTATACTCAGTCATGTAGCAGGAACTGTTCTAAATACTGTACATAGCCCTGGCTGGTTTGGCTCAGTGGATAGAGCGTCGGCCTACAGACTGAAGGGTCCCAGGTTCGATTCCGGTCAGGGGCACATGCCCGGGTTGTGGGCTCAATCCCAGTGGGAGGCGTGCAGGAGGCAGCCGATCGGTGATTCTCTCTCATCATTGATGTTTCTGTCTCTTTCCCTTTCCTTTCCTCTCTGAAATCAATAAAAATATATTAAAATAAAAACTAAAATAAAATAAATACTGTACATAATATTCACAACCCCAAGAAGTAGGTCTTATTAGTATACCCAGTTTCAGATGGGAACACTAAAGCACAAGAAAAGTTAAATAAGTAATTTGCCTATGGCATGAGGTCTGGGCCTAGATTGTGCATTCTTTACCCATATTCTACACACATGGATGGGCTTGATCATATGCCAAATGGGTGGTAGACACAGTATATACATAGGCAATTTGGAAGATGATGAGTGCCGACGATGATTAGAGTCTGGATAGGGAGCACGGGTGCAGCTGGAGTGTGGTCCAAACCTGGTTATAATACAATACTGGCCAAAGGGCTTTTACAAGATTGTCTGTTAAGCAGCAGCAAGAAATACGGCTGGATGGGTAAAGTGAACCCAGACTGTGGAAGGCCTCGAGGCCAGGCAGTGTAGTTCAGATTTCAATGGACCAACCCACTGAAGAACTCATTACTGGAAGGCTACAGCTGTTTGGGCATCTGGTAAGGGATGCCATACTCCAATCCAGGATGAAAAGCTGCGTATGAACAGATTATTAACAAAGGAAGTGTGTGATAAAAGCTAAATGGTGGTGGTTGTGTGGCGAAGGTGTTTTGTCTCCACATGCTAACAACCCCCAAGCCTATACTTGGAGGTAGATGTCCCTTCACTCCAGACCATAACTCCAGCTGCCACCTGTACAGTTGCTCTTCACAAGAACTTCAAACTTCACCTGTATCACTCTTTTTTCCTCCTAGGCCTATACTACTTACTCACTGTGTTCTATATCTAAGTACATAGCACCACCGTCCACCCCATGCTAAGCCGGAACCTGGGAGGCAGGCCTGCCTCATTCCCAGCACTCAATGACTAAAGCCTATTCAATTCTACCTCATAGAATATTTCAAACACTTCACAGCTGTCTAAGCCTAGATCAGCATCATTTCTTGCCTGGATTAATTGAACAGTCCCCTAACTGGTCTCCATATTCTCCAATAGTTTTTCATTGTCTTTATGACAGCTTTAAATCCTGGGCACAGCCTCCAAGTCTTTTGCAGATTTGGTTCCTACCCACCTCACCATCATTCATTAATCTATTCATTCAGCAAACATTGAGTGCCTAGTATATGTGATACACTGTTCTGGGTGCTGGAACTACACTAATGAACGAGAGAAACAAAAAACTTTTGCCCTTATAGAGCTTATACTCTAGTCGGGGAAGACAGACAATAAATATAACATGATAGGTTAAAAGACAAGTGCTATGAAAAAAAGCAATAGGGCAGAACAGAGAGGTTGGGACTGTAAAGATAGGGGTGGGGGTGTTAAAATTTTCTCTTTTTTCCTTTTAATCCTCACCGGAGGACATGCCCTCCAACGATTTTAGAGAGAGAAGAAACAAGGGGGAGAGAGAGAGAAACATCAGTGCAAGAGAGAAACATTGATCAGTTGCCTCCGGTACCCAGCCCAATCAGATTCAAACCCACAACCTAGATATGTGCTCTGACTAGGAATCGAACCTGCAACCTTTTGGTATATGGAACAATGCTCTGCTCCAACCAACTGAGCCACCAGGCCAGGGTGGGGGTGTTGCAATTTTTAATGAGGGTGTGTGGTATGTGAGAACCTGGGCCCCTTCCCAAGCTCCAACTCCCCACTCTGACCCTGTGGGAATATGAAGGCCACCTGTAAACGGACTGTGGGAGCAACCTTGGGAGCCTGGACAGCTCCCAAGAAACAGCCAAACAGAAACTGACCTTGGATGTGAGCCCGATTGTAAATGATTAGTGTTCTGATCGTACAGAGCTTGTGCTTGAGCACGCCTCTCCTGCATGCCCTGTTCTCTGTATTCTATACAACCCTGTGCTGGGGAAAACTTCACCAGTGGGCCGCCACCGTGTGCAGTAAGTCTTAATAAACCCGTGTTTTTCACAGGCGGTCTTCTGGGTTATTTTCCTCGGATCTCAGCTCTTTGCATAACAGGCCTGAGAAGGTGAAGAATGGAGAGAGTATGCCTACAGGTGTATGAGGACAGAAGGAGCCACCAGGGCAAAGGCCCTAACTTACCATGCTTAAGCCGATATGGGTAGAGTGAAAAGGGAAAAGTAGAAGTCGGAGTGGCAATGGAAGCCGATCATATAGGGCTTTGCAAACCACTGTAATTCTCTAGCTGTTGAGTTGAGAGTGGACTGTAGGGGGTATGGGATATTAATGAGGAGACTACTGTAATAATCCAGGCGAGAGAGAGCGTGGTGGCTTGCAGAGGATGGTGTTCCCGGGTGGTGAGAAGTGGTCTGATTTTGGATGTATTTTGAAGGCAGAGTCAACAGGATTTCCCAATAGATCAGATGTGGAATGAGAAAGAGAGGAGTCCAAGGTTTCTGTCTTAAACAAATGGAAAGATATTGTGCTATTAACTGAGATGAGGAAGATGGTGGAGGGGCAAGTTTGGCAAGAAGGTCTATTTTGGACATGTTAAATTTGAGATGTCTATTAGACTTCAAACTGGAGATGCCAAATAGGCAACTAAATAATGTAGGTTTCATGGGAGAAATCAAGGCTAGAATATAAAGTTGAGAGCGGTCACCAAATAGATGGTGTTTAAACCATGAAACTGATGGCAACACCAGAGAAGTGTGTGAAGAGAAGAGGTCCAAAGACTGAACCCTGTGGCACTTCAATAAGAGGTTGGGGAATCACTTGGCCAGTGTGGCCCAGTGGTGGAGTGTCGACCTATGAACCAGGAGGTCAGGGTTCGATTCCTGTCAGGGCACATGCCTAGGTTGTGGGCTTGATCCCCAGTAGGGGGCCTGCAGGAGGCAGCCAATTAATGATTCTCTCTCATCACTGATGTTTCTATCACTCTCTCCCTCTCCCTTCATCTCTGAAATCAATAAAAATATATTTAAAATAAAAAGAGGTTGGGGATCAAAAGGGAGCCAGCAAAGGCTACTGAGAGGTAAATAGTAACACAGGAATATGATATCTTGGAAGCGAAGTAAAGATACTACAGCCAGGAGGCCAATGTTCAATTGTGTCAGGACAAAGGAAAGAGATCTGAGAACTGGGTAGGAAGGTCAACACGCCCACCCTAAGAAAGTGGTGATCATCTTTTACTTACCCTCTATCCCTCGTTGGCCCCTAAACAATATTGTTCTTTCTGCTCAGGGCACGCCTCACCCGTTTTTCAGGTCTCAGCACAAAGGTCATGCAATCTGGGGGGCCCGACCCCCAAGATCAATGCCGTTGTCATCAAAGAATCTATTATACTTTACCATGGAATGTATTATTCTCATTGTCTATTGCCTACTCTCTCCTGGGCTAGACTCTCACATCCTGAAGCCCGGCGCATGACTACCTTGTTTATCTCTTTAGCCAAACCTTCTGGACTCCTAGCATAGTACGAAGCACTAGCAGACACCCCGTAAGTAGCTACAGAACAGATGGATGGATAAATACTAGGAGAACCTAGTGGTGTCAGCAACCACTTCCTGCTTCCTAACTTCAGGGGTACCTGGAAGAGAGGGCCTAAAACTAGTAGTGGGCGTGGAGGGCTCTGACTATCCTAAACCCGCTACAGGGCTGAGTGTCCCATTACAGTAACTCTGTAACCCTTTTTATCCCCAGCTATTCCCCGGCCCGATGCCCGTCCACCCTCTCCTAACCTCCCCCTTCCTCGCACCCATCCCCGCCGCTCACCCAGGCGCGTGATGCGCTCCCGCGGCGCCGCGGGCCGGCTTCCAGTCCCATGCTCGGCCTCGAGCTCCTCCTGCTGCTGCCGCGCTTGCTGCAAAATCCGTCGGGTCAGCCGGGGCCCCACATACTCTTCTTCCTCCTCTTGGGTCCCGCGACCGCGCCGCTTCTCCCGGGCCCCTGCCCGCACCGCGTCCCCGGCCAGAATCTGCTCGGCAAGGGGCGCGTGTTTTTCCTGGCCCCCGGCCCCGCGGGCCGCCTTGAATTTGGGCATTTTTCTCAAAAACGTGCCGGGAAAGTTCACACGTGGAGACGCAGAAGCAGTCCCGAGTGCGTCTGCGCTGTGTGCGCCCCGTTCCCCAGAGGCCACGCCGAGGCACAGCGCCCGCTACCGCTCGGAGGCCAGGAGCGCCATCCGCGCCGCCCCACCTGCTGAGAACTCGCGGGTCCTGGGGCCAGACTCCCCAATAAACTCTGTGCCTTTAACGTTGTCTCCTCCAACCTTTGAGGATCTAGGGGCCCAGGGTGATGGAAGCCAGGGGGCAGCCGCCGGGCAGGGGTACCAACGAAGGTGTCAGCGAGGAGGCGCCTAGACACGCCCCTGCTCCTCGCGGTGCGTCGACCGGGCGCTCTGTTTTTACGTCACTTCCGGAGCCCCTCCCTCCACCGGAACTGGCCTTAGGGCGCCTTCACTAACTGTGCGTGGACGGAGAACTCTGCGATTCGACTCTGGTCCTGCCATCCTCCTGGTCCGACATCATGGGAGTGACCTGGTAGGGCTGCAGGGGATACTGTGGGGCGGGACTTGGGGTGGCGAAGGGCCCTCGGAGTCCGGAGTGAACCCTGGGGGAGGGTCGGGACCCGGGTCTGCGGTCCCTCGGGAGTCTGGCGCGATGTCCTCGGGTTGTGTGGGTGAGGGGGACCCCGCGAGGGCTGTGGAGTCCCGGGCCTGGTTCCTTGGGGATGCGCCCCCTTCTCCTGGGTTTTGTCCCAGGAGCCCATCCATGGTTGGGTGCCTCCTTCCCGTTTTCTTGGCACAGCTTCCCGCCGGTGAGGCCAGGGTGGGACTTGGGGGTCGGAGAGAGGATGTGTGGGCTAGAACTCATCAGCAGGCAGAGAGGGGACAGTAGCTTTTTTTAAGTTTTCACCCGTCTCTCCTTACAGCCACTAAATGTAGTTAGACCAGTCTATGTCAAGTTCTGGTTTGACCATTTTAAGGTCTTGGGTTTGCGGGGGGGGGGGGGGGGGGGCGGGAATGGGGGGAGGGCGGGGAGCTATTGGGAATTAGGAGATTTGGGTTCTGGGCACATCACTTCTTCAGGACCTGTTTTCTACATGATGTGTGTTGTTTCTGTGGACTTTTAAAATCTCTAACTCAATATAAGTCGGGGTGATAGGGAAAGATATGGGTCTGATGCCCTTGGAGTCATTAGTTCCAAAATGCTAGATTTCAGAGCCTTCCCCACCCCCCCCCCCTTTCTTTTTTAAACAGCAGTAAGTGTAAGCATTTCCAATCAGAGAGGACTGGAGGCCAGGCTATCCCAAGTCATTGACTGTGGGCTTCCCGGGTCACAGCCTGTGGAAACTCCTGGAAGCCCTGGCTCTTGCCAGTTTGTCAGTGATTGCGTTTTTGTTGACTGCATTTGGCATCATGAGCCTCCTCTGACCCCTAGGGCAGTGGTCGGCAAACTCATTAGTCAACAGAGCCAAATATCAACAGTACAACGATTGAAATTTCTTTTGAGAGCCAAATTTTTTAAACTTAAACTATATAGGTAGGTACATGGTTATTAACTTAATTAGGGTACTCCTAAGCTGGCCTTTGCTAAATCCTCGACACTACATCTTCTTTCACTCCACAACGTTCCCTGAAATTAACTTAATAAACTTTACTTAGAGTTTTAAGCCAATTTCACACTGTTCGTGTGCGCCCGCACATGGTATTTTGTGGAAGAGCCACACTCAAGGGGCCAAAGAGCTGCGATTTGCTGACCACTGTCCTAGGGTAAGGGAGATGTGTGGGCGATGGCCATGGCAAGTTTGTGGCTCAGAGGCTTGGAGCCCTGGAAGTCCCTGTTCTTTCAGTAGAGGAGGCAGGCCGAGGGGAAGGGCTCTCTGTTAGGACCCTTATCAACGTTCTCAGACTCCTCGCACTTCTCACCCCAGCAGCATCATTTTAGGAATGTGCTTCTGTTTCAACATAAGGCACATCATCATCTTTCCTTTATTAGTGCTTTTTTGATGGAGAGTAGTGACAATTTTTAGCAACAAGGAGGACTCTACCTTTATAGCTTCATTTGGCTGATTATCAAGTAATGCAGTGTCTCCCCAAATTCAGTCACAAATGGCTGTCTTTTCTGATTTTTATATAACTAGTGCCCATGTCTCTGGATACTGACGATTTGATTCTCTCCCTTCCAGTGTAGTAGTATTTGTTAATGTTTTCTTTTAAATCTATTTCTTGAAAGTATTTTAACTATATCGCTAGGGAGGTAGTCTACTGTAGTAGTTAAGGGCACAGATGTAGAGCCAGTTTGCCTGATTCTGAATCTTGGCTACACCACACCAAGCTGTGTGGCCTTGTGCAAGTCAACCCCTCTGTATTTCAGTTTCCTCATTTGTAATAAGGAGATAAATAATAGCATAGCTAGGGCTATTGTGAGGATTCAAAGAGTTTATTTATCTCAAGGCTTTTGGACACTGTCTGGCACATAGTTGGGGCTCGGTGACTGTTAACTACCACTCTAAAGGGGAAGCTGGTTTTACTCACCATGGAAGGAAGTCTTGGAAATAACATTTTTTTGTTTCATTGCTTGGATTACATTCTTGTTTAAATGTCAATGGCCACATGTGGCTTGTGGCTACTGTACTGGACAGCACACATTCAGAGTGTCAGAGTTGGGGAAAAACATACCCCAAATTAAGGCTATCTCCTTGATATCGTCAGAACTGATATAATTGTGAAGGAAACATTACATGACACAGTGTTGTCAAGTGTTCAGTCGGGGTGCCACCTAAAATCTTCTCTTGAATGTTGGCACACATGCCATGCTTAGGGAATTCTGGTGTGATAGGAAGTTCGCTGCGCTCTTGTGAGAGAATCATGAGATCTGTGTTCTTAGGGACTGTAGGACTCTAGTTCTGCATCTGAACAAAACCAGGCTTGATCCTTGAGCTCCTGGTCAGTTTTATCCATCTCTGCTGTGACAATGTAGTTGGAAATCTAAGGGGGAAAGCTTGATTTACTTTAAATACTGTGAACGCTAATGACGTGGAAAATATTTTTCAACTTTAATTTTCTGAAGTATAAATTATTTATGTAAATTCCTTGTTTTTGCATATTTCATAGGACATGCATCTTTAAGCTTTACCATTGCCAATATGTGCAGAAAGAGAATAAAACTATACGTTTATGAATATCAAAAAAATGCATCTTTAAAATAAAGGGGTCCCGGTAGGTGGTCTCTATGGTCCTGATGAGCTGTGATTCTGTGGGTGATGGAGTGGCTCAGCCAGTGCCCATGCCTCTGGATATTGACGATTTGATTCTTTCCCTTCCAGTGTGTCCCAGATGCCTGTGGCTGAGGGCAAGAGTGTCCAGCAGACCGTGGAGCTCCTCACCCGGAAGTTGGAGGTGCTTGGGGCAGAGAAGCAAGGAACATTTTGTGTAGACTGTGAGACCTATCACACGGCTGCTTCTACCCTTGGCAGCCAAGGTTAGTGAGATGCGTCTGTGGGATGGCTGCATCCTGGCTTGGAGTTGATAGACATTTATGTTCACTGAAATCTTCCTGCTCTTTTAAGAGTGATATTCTTAAGTCAAGGCCCCACTGTATTAAGAGATGAGATGGCTGTGGATGGTGGTGGTGGTGATGGTAAGGAGGCAAAGAGGATCTTTGAATATGGGTTAGGGAACCTGGGTTCTGCAGTATCTTATCCTTGGACAGTTCCATAGCACAGTGATTCAGAGTCTAGACATGGAACCAGATAACTGAATCCTAGCTCTGCCACATACTAACTGCACTTTAGGTAAGTCCCACAACCTGTGACAGTTTCTATGCTGGTAATTTTCCTACTTCCCCTTAGATCCATTCCCTGAACTTCCCCTGCCAAAGGCATTGGGGAAGATCAGAGGACAGGAGAAAGGGAGACCACAGTTTGTTTCTCCCTCTGTTTTAGGCAGTGTCTCTGGCTGTATCCTTGGTTCTAGCTCCTGCTGGGCAGCCTTTGCTCATGGCTCTAATAACAGCACATCTCTATTTCCTTCCAGGCTTAGGGATGATAATGGCTCCGTGTGTTGCTAATTTTTGGATGACATCATCATTCCATTTGTTTTTTTAGTTTTTCTATCCCCTGTACTTTGTTCCCCTCTAATGAAACTGTCTGGTGAGGGTTCTGTTTTTGCATCCTTTCCGGTACAGTTCTCCCACCTATAAAATGAAGATAAGCGTAGTACTTACCTCCTGGTGTTATTGTGCTAATTAAATAAGTTAATACATGCAAAGCACAAGAACTGAGGTTGTCATGTAACGAACCTTTAATAAGTGGTAGCTAAGAGCTATACTGAGTTTCATCATCTGTAAAATTGCAGTGTTAACCGTTGTTTTGCCTTCAGTAGGAAGGACGTAAGAATCAAGAGATACAGTGGTTATGAAAGCATTTGGAAAATAAAACGTCCTGTACAGACAGTCCTCGGGTTATGTCATTTTGTGGTTACGTTGCCATCACCCATTTATTTATTAAAAAAAAAAGTTCCGTCATTTTGACATATGTACATATGTGCTTTCTGTTTTTTATTATTTATTTACCACAAGTAAAGGTCAGGAATTGTTATCTTTCTTTTAAATTTTTTTTACTGTTTCACTTTATTACTGCTGTGTATGTGCTCCATATGCGTGACGTAGGTACTTATGTAGGTGGGTTCCGGCGAAAATCTCGTTACCTCGCGCCTAGGAACGGATCTCCGATGTAACCCGAGGACCTGATGTATAATAAAAGCCTAATATGCTAGGTGTCCAGTCGTCCAGTCGTCTGTTCAACCAATCAAAGCGTAATATGCTAATGATATGCTAAGGCTGCTCAACCGCTCACTCTGACATGCACTGACCACCAGGGGGCAGACAGTAGACTGGTCAGTCAGTTGCTATGACGTGCATTGACCATCGGGGCAGACAGTCAACCAGTAGGTTAGCTTGTTGCTGGAATCTGGCCGATTGGGACTGAGGGAGACAGGCTGGACACGCCCTGGAGCCCTCCCACGGCCCTCCCTGGCCCTGATTGTGCACTGGTGGGGTCCTTCAGCCTGGCCTGCACCCTCTTGTAATCTGGGACTCCTTGGGGGGATGTCAGAGAGCCGGTTTCAGCCGGATCCTGCAGGCCAGGCCAAGGGACCCCACTGGTGCACGAATTCATGCACCGGGCCTCTGGTTTGTATATATACAGATACTCTACTTCTATGAAATTACCTGGTGTGGACTGTTTTCCTCCTGATCAGACCTTTGTTTTTAAGGAACTATAGTCCAGTTAGGGAGACATCATTCTTGGCAGACAGTGGGGTAGAATGGAAAGAGCAATAAATTTGAGGTCAGAAAGCCTGATTGGAGTTCCAGCTCTGCTGCCTCTGTGCCTTTAGATCCGCAGTTCTCACACTGACCAGCATTAGTATCACCTGGAGGGCTTGTTAACACAGGTTGCTGGGCCTCTCTCCCGGACTTTCTGACTCAGTAGGTCTGGGGTGGGGTGGATAATTTGCATTTCTAACAAGCTTCCACGTGGTGGTGCTGCTGCTGTTGTTGGTCTGGGACCCATAATTTTCCTCATCTGCAAAAGGGGGACAGTGACACTGGTTCAGCTTACTTCACACATTTGTGCAGATAAGAAACTACTTCACTGTGATTAAAAAGGTAGTATTGTCTCTAAACAACTGGGAGTGCCTTCTTCATTAAAAACAAACAAATCTTAGTTGACTTTCCGAATATTTTCAGGACAATAAGAATATTTTTAGATTCATATGAATTATGTTATTACAGTGAGTTTGCACAAGAACATAATAACTGATCAACTTTGGATGTCTTTTTGAGGGTTGAAGTGTTTGAAGTGGATTTCCTGGGAGGTGAAAGGTCTGAACTGGCAACAGGCAGTCAGGAGGGATGTGCAGGGAGGTTTGTGCAGAGCCTGTCGTGTTCAGCAAGTGGCAGCAGAGTGGAGGCGTATATACAGGTCACAATGCCCCAGCTCCCTCCACCCCCTTCTCTCTTTCCCATTGCTACACTCTCATCACTGCCTAGGATGTGTTTTTCCTTCTGCATGTGGCTGAGTCCTGCCCTTTCTTTTTTTTTTTTTTTTTTAAATATATTTTATTGATTTTTTACAGAGAGGAAGGGAGAGAGATAGAGAGTTAGAAACATCGATGAGAGAGAGACATCGATCAGCCGCCTCCTGCACATCTCCTACTGGGGATGTGCCCGCAACCCAGGCACATGCCCTTGACCGGAATCGAACCTAGGACCTTTCAGTCCGCAGGCCGACGCTCTATCCACTGAGCCAAACCGGTTTCAGCCCTGCCCTTTCTTTGTATCCTAGTTCAGGTCCTAAAATTTTTAACTTATCCCTAGTGAGTTTATTAGCTGGGGCTAAGTCCTCTACTTGTATGCTTCTTAAACCCTAGGACAGTGTTGGGAATAGTTTAAGTACTTAATAAAGATAAATATTTGAGATTGTGGCAGTTTATCCATTAACTCTTGTATGAGAGAGAAAATCTTCCTTTCCATTTGCCTTCTTCCATTTTCCACTTAACCAAATACACACATACACACACACACACACAAATATACACATTCTATATAATAAAAGCCTAATATGCTAAGTGTGTCTGGTAGTCCGTTCAACCAATCAAAGCTAATGATATGCTAAGGCTGCTCAGCTGCTTGCTGACATGCACTGACCACCAGGGGGCAGACACTCCAACCAGTAGGTTAGCTTGCTACTGTGGGGTCTGGCTGATTGGGACTGAGTGAGACAGGCTGGACTCGCCCTGGAGCCCTCCTGCGGTCCCTCCCCAGCTGGCCTACCTCCCTGGCCCTGATCATACTTCATTGGGGTCCCTCAGCCTGGCCTGCACCCTCTCACAATCTGGGACCTCTTGGGGGATGTTGGAGAGCTGGTTTCAGCCCAATTCCACAGGCCAGGCAAGGTACACCACTGGTGCACAAATTTGTGCGCCAGGCCTCTAGTATATGTATATAACTTTGCTTCCTTCTTGCAGAAAATCTATAGTAATCAATGAGAAAACTAGACCTTTTGATTCCAGATGCTGAGTTCTTTCTGCTGTTGTGTATGCTAGCTTCCCAAGTTGGCTGATGTCTTAAAATTGTCCAAGGCTTCACCATTGCCTTTAGAATGGAGTCCAGGCTTCGTGAGCATGGAAGACAAGACGTAGCACCACTTGGCTCTGGTCTGTCTTCCTAGCCTCATGCTCAGATACTCCCCTTTGCTGTGTCTCTGGGGCCACTTCTTATATATCAAAGAGGGAGGAGCCAGGGAAGGTAGGCGTGGACAGAAGAGAGCATCTGCTTCACTTGGCATACTGAAATGCTATTATTTCATCTTCCTTATTATGTGACCTATATAATAAAAGGCTAATATGCAAATTGTCCCCTCCACTGGGAGTTCGACCAGGGGTTGGGGCCAGCCCACCAACCGCCCATGGCCCCTCCCCCTGCCGGCCCTGCCTCTGATCATTTCCCCCACCCTGATGGGGGGTGGGGCCGACCGGCCAATGTCCCGTGTCTCCTCCCCCCCGGCTCACTGGGCCCATTGGGGTGGGCGGGCTGGATCCCACCCATGCACGAATTTGTGCACCGGGCCTCTAGTGATTATATAAAAGACTATATGTAAAATCTCTGTGAGTAAATCATCATCATCATCCATCTGTGACCCTATCCCTCAACCTAAAAATTCAACTGTTATTAACGCTAGTGAGTTCCCTGTGTGCCCCTCACCTTTTTCTGTAGAGCGGGTAGATTTTACCACATGCTATTCTTCAGAAAAGGCTTTTGGTAAGGGGATCCCCCGCCCCCACCCAAGACTGCTTAGGTAATGCCATCTGGCCTTGTTCCCTGCATTTGCCTCTACTCTGGGGTTTGCTGACAGAGGTCTTGATGCTGAGTAAGATCTCTGTCCCTGCAGGTCAGACTGGGAAGCTGATGTATGTGATGCACAATTCAGAATACCCTTTGAGCTGCTTCGCCCTGTTTGAGAATGGCCCTTGCCTTATTGCCGACACCAACTTTGATGTGCTCATGGTGAAGCTCAAGGGCTTCTTCCAGAGTGCCAAGGCCAGCAAGATTGAGACCCGGGGCACCCGTTACCAGTACTGTGACTTCCTAGTGAAGGTGGGCACGGTCACAATGGGGCCCAGTGCCCGAGGCATCTCTGTGGAGGTAAGACCTTGGTGAAGTAGGAGCGGGATGTGCTGAAGGAGCTGCTCAGCAGAGGGCTCTGCAGATTTCCACGTCCCTCTGAGTGCAGACCGGTGTTTATGCCTACCTGGCCCCTGCCCTGCACCTTGTACCCTGTCCTTTATCATTCGAGACGCTAGACCAGGATGGGAATTGGAAGCTGGGTTCACAGCAGCTAGGAAGCCTAGAAAGGCTGGCTTGCTGGAGAAGGGAAGGGAAAACCAAGAGAGGCGGGTGAATTTTGCGGAGGGACCAGTCATCCTTCACAAGAGGATTGGAGCAGACCAGGTCAGCTTTCCGTGCAGTTAGCTTTTGGGAGGTGGGTCTGCACATCTCTCCTTAGGATGCTTGCAGATGGGTCTCAAAAGTGATGTAGCAGAGATGTGCCTTTCCTTTTGCCATGCTACCCACTTTCATGGTGGGAAGGGCTACGTGTGATGGTTTCACCTTTGAGTGCTAGACTGAAAATGACAGAGGGAGTGTGACGAGTAGCTGGCTTTGGGACCAGTGGTAATCCACAATCTACCATGTGCCCAGCACTGTGTGAGATTAAAAAAAAAAAAAATGCATAAGCTATGGGGCCTGTTTTTTGCAAATGTTTTATTTAGTAAGAGCATAGGGCTGGAACACAAACCGTTTTGCAGTTAGTCTATGACAGTGGTCGGCAAACTGCGGCTCATGAGCCACATGCAGCTCTTTGGCCCCTTGAGTGCGGCTCTTCCTAAGCCTTAGGAGTACCCTAATTAAGTTAATAACAATGTACCTACCTATATAGTTTAAGTTTAAAAAATTTGGCTCTCAAAAGAAATTTTAATCGTCGTACTGTTGATATTTGGCTCTGTTGACTAGTGAGTTTGCCGACCACTGGTCTATGAGAAATGCCACAGATTGCTCTGGGACTTCATGCCAGTGAGAGCACTGCTGACTTGGATTGTGAGCCTCCTACAGGACCAGCATTTAAGGAGGGACTCAAATGTGGAGACGTGGGGATAGCTAAGTCCTAAAAGGCGGCCCCGGCAGAGAACAGGGCATTAGTGGATTACTGCTCTAAAATTCCAGGGTACTCGAGGGCCAAGATTTCCTCACCCTTTTCAGCTTGAGACACACCTTGCATTTGCTGAGACCCACTGGGACCCCAGTGTTTATCCTCCACATTTCCAGCTTTGTAGTACAAACATACCCCAGCTGTTTCTGTGCTGTTTCTCCTGGTTACCAGTGATTTCCCCAGTGAGAAAGCTGAAGATGTGTATCATGTGGCCCTTGCTACATTGATCAGGAAATTATTTCTTAGGGTTGGAGCCCAGGCTGGATCTACCTGGGAGTAATGTTTGGTCTTGCAGAGACGTATGAGCATGTGTCCACTTTGCGCTCTATTGATCCCCTTAACACACGCACACGCATTCTCTCTTCGTTTTCTCAGAATTTCCTGAGCTCTCCTTCAATGTCCCAGTATGTAGGGATTACAGTGGGGCCTTGACTTATGAGTGTCCCGACTAACAAGTTTTTTTGAGATACCAGCTGTCTCTCGGCTGATTTTTTACGAGCTCGGTCTCGGAACACATTAAACTCGTAAGTCAAGGCCCCACTGTATGTAGTTCTGAGATAATCCAGAGGGGCCCAGATCTGCCCTTGGATCTTGTGGGCAGGGCTGGGGGTTGATAACTCTAAGACAAGAATGTCAGAGATGCTAAAGGAAATGGTGGTGTGTTAAATCCCTGGTGTTTGGGTTGAGTATTTCCTATGCAGCAACACTGTGCTAGAAGGTGTGTGTCTTTAGCTTGGGGTTGTGGAAGATGGGCGCAAGGGTAGAAGGTGCAAGGGAAACAGAAGTCCTCATCCTTGCCTGCACTCACCCTCATTCTCTGTTCCTTTGGTCCCAGGTGGAATATGGCCCGTGTGTGGTAGCTAGTGACTGCTGGAGCCTGCTGCTCGAATTCCTACAGAGTTTTCTAGGTAGCCACACACCTGGGGCTCCCGCAGTGTTTGGCAACAGACACGACACAGTCTACGGCCCAGCAGATACCATGGTCCAGTACATGGAACTCTTCAACAAGATTCGCAAGCAGCAGCAGGTGCCAGTGGCTGGGATTCGTTAGTGACTGGCAGCTGCATGGTTGAGCTCCGTCACCAAGGGACTCCACAGGAGGCTCAGGTGCTACACCCTCAGGGCTCTGGGCCCCAGAAACCCAGGGTGGACATGGAGGCTTCTCTCCTTCTCCAGTTCCCAGCTGTGGCTTTTGTTTTGGGGCTCCGGACCCCCTCCCCTGACCCTCACACACAGTCCCCTGACAGCTGTTTCACTCCCTGCCTTACTGGACTTGGCCTGTCCTCCAGAACGGTGATTATGAAGAGTGGAGAAGTTTGGAACTTTCCTGCTGTGGGGGCAAAGGTAGGACAGGGGCGTCCCTGCCTGGCCCTGGTGGGGAAGGTAGTCTGTATCTCCAACTATTGTGGATTTGGCCTGGGCCAGTGGGCAGGCTGCATTTTGTGTTTGGGCTGTGCTGCAATAAAGGCCTCTTCCTCTGCTCAGAGATGTGCTTCACCTCCTAGAGGAGTAGGAGGCCAGCTTATTTTATGGATGGCATTTCTGACGTGTTTGCTGAAGTGAATTGAGAGTTGACTTTTCTATCAAAGCGAGCCTAGTAGAAGTTTAATCTCTCTCTTAATAGAACAGAAGTAGTCAGATGGTCCAGGGCAGGTTTCACTCTACAAGGTCATCAGGAACTTAGGTTTTTTTAATCTTGTTGTTCAGCCACCACTAGCTTGTTGTCCTTGCCTGCAAGGTCAAAGCAGACTCATCAGCTCTATGTCCGCATTCCACTGGGGAAAGAGAGAACAAAGCAGTTTCTTTTATAAAGAATATGAATGACCTGGAGTTGCTCAAACCACTATGGCCACAGTTTGTTGAAAGGGACAGCAGGATATAGAGCCTCTTATTTGAGTAGTCATGTGCCCCGTTAAAACTCAGGGATCCTGTGACTGGAAGATGGAGAAAATGGTCTAGTTAATGGCCTTTGCTACCTGGAGCTCAGTGGATGTGCCCAGGAATGCTCTTGGCTGTTACTGTGCAGTTAGTACTTCCTCTAACTAAGCCAGTTGTTTATGGATTGGATTGGGATAGAGCTGATGCCAGAGTCCCTTTTGGTTTAGCTAGATTAGCCACACTAGGAAGTCAGTTCCGAACCCCTTGCCTAGGTCTCGGTATCTAGGCCTCTCCAGTTCGCATGCACCCAGTTGACTCGATGCACTGAGCTCTTTCTCATCTCCTTTGCGCCTCCAAGCTGCTCATTTGATCAACATTGCCTGCCCACCCCACTCCGCTGCTGAAACATTCAGTCAGGCTAACAATGAGATACACAGCGGGGGATGGGCTAATGTACACACTGCTACGCTGCCCTCAAGGATACTGTCCCTCTTTGAAGGTACCTAAGGAGAAACTGTTTTCACACATAGGGCTCTGCAGCAAGAATCTGTCAGTAGACCCTTTTAGCTTTGGCTGGCAGGAAGCTCGAGTCAACTTTATAACTAGGACCTGTCCTCCGCATTTGTTGTTCTCACTTCCCCTGCTTTTCTGATTTATTTTTGCTATATTGAAATTGAGGTATGTTTTAGATATCATTTACACACAATAAAATGCACAGACCTTATGTTTTTGGCCTTCTGATTTATATGTGCTCTTATCCAGATGTATCTACTTGTATTTTTCTGTAGGCTGCCACCAGTCTTTATGATTTGAGACATCATTTTGAACATAATGTATTCATAATAAGATATGGAAGCTGAGTGTGGTAAATTTGACTCTAGACTTATACATTGTAAGGAGATTCTGTTCCCTGAAGCCTAAAAAATAATATAAACTCCCTAACTGTCCTTTGCTTTTAGACACAGCCTTGACTCCTACACATTCTTCACTTTTATTCTTCTTCCTGTTCGAGCATACATTTGGCCAGCTTTAAGTCCAGCTCAGGCTTTCAGAACTGCCACTTTAGTTACTTTTGCCTGTGTTTGTCCTTTGTGTCAGTTAAAGAAAATTTACCACTAAAAAGGTGGGTAATGCAATACATTTTAACATATGCCTCCACTTGCAAAATTGCCAAAAATGGAACCAGTAACTAGTGAGAAGGGGCTAAATGTTATCCATAGACTACTTGTGTGCCAGTTTGGATGGGGCTTTCAGGAGTCGTCTAGGAATATCAGTATGTGCATTTTTGTAAGCTCCGGTTGATAGAAAATTGAGGAGCAAATGTATAAATTTAAGGAAAAAGGGCATGGTTATCTTCACTTTATAAATGAAAAAAACCTTAAACTTGGCTGCTAAATGGAGATGCCATATTTTTGGGGTTCAAATCTCATATTCTTCCTTCTACACTAGGCTGTCTTCTACCCAACGTCCTTTGCTTCCTAGTGCATTACCCCTTTCTCCACCTGTAGCTAACCCCCAAAAGTGCAGAAACGGGGGAATTTCTAGGACCCTGCTAACAAGTCACCTTGGTGGCTACCTTTGCCAGAGCCACATAGAAATCTGTCAACATTGACTCTCAGAGCTACGCAGGGCAGCTGTGGGACTCATCTAGTTCTCCTTTAAGATGGGAAAGCAGTGGCACCCAGAGGGGCCTGCCTAGAAATGAGGCTGGAGTCAGGACCAAACTTCACAACCGGGTCTCCTAGCTACCAGCTGTGTCAGTGTGACACCTAGACCTCTGTGGTGCCAGGTGGTTTCAGATGGAATGTGGAAAACATGGTTACAGTAACACTTATGTCTTACTCTAATGTATATTAGAGAAAAATATAACTAGCCCTTTATTCCTTAGGATGAGGGTAAGTTTTTTGCAAAAGAGAACTATTAAGTTATAGTACAGATGATACCGGCAAATGGCAAAATCTATAGAGGCAGAAGGCAAGTGCTGGAATTTGGGGAAACACTGTGCTCTATTTAGCATCTAGTCCATTTCTTGTATCCATGAGGGTTCCTGCTCTGTTTCTGCTGTGCTGTTCTGATTCACTGTACCCTGTTCCTGTGCTGCCTCCTGCTTGCTTTCCTTAGATCTTGAGTACCAAGTAGTCACATTTCCCCGAACTCTATTGGTGTCATTGCTTCACTGAAGAAAATACCTAAAAACTGACCATTCCTTCCCACCAGTGGGTCCAGTATTCATTTCTGAGGCTTCAGGATGAGGAAGTGAAATTTCTGTCTCCAAATCCTGGCAGGTAAGAGGAGCGGTTAGAAACTCCCACTTAAGCATGTCTTCCAGGTTTTGAAAGTTGAGGCTCTTAAAGTACAAGATAGGAAGGTCTATAGGTTGAACATTTTGAGGACATTCACAGAAGATCTAGAGTCATGCAGGACTGAGGTATATGTGTGGCCTTTTTGTAACTCCCAGTACTGCCTGTCTCTCCCGACAGCCTCCCTCCCCGTATCTGCTGCTGTTTGAGTGCTTTGGGCGGTAGGCCCTAGTTACAGTTGCCATGTGGAGTGGCTGAAACCAGTTGTATTACAAGTTGGGTCCTCTCCTAGGGGTTGGTGTCTTTGGCCTTAGAGCAGTCCCTTCCTGGGGTAGACTTTCCCCAAGGTGAGTTTCTGTCATTCAGTCTCTTGGATTAGAAGGGACCCGTTAGGTCAGCTAGTTTGACCTTCAGTACTCATATCTTTAACACCATCCCTCCCACATGTCATGCAGCCTTGACTTGGCCGAATCTAGGGAAATCCCTTTCCTCTGTATCTCACCGATTTTATCACTCTTGAGACAAAAACCCAACAAAACATACTTGCCCTTTCCCTCACAGATTGTAGAGATTGTACAGTGGGGCCTTGACTTACGAGTTTAATTCGTTCCGTGACGGAGCTCGTAACTCAAATTACTCGTATGTCAAATCAATTTTCACCATTACAATGAATTGAAATGCCATTAATCCGTTCCGGACACCCAAAAAACACCACAATTGTTTTGTTAAATGTTTTTAAATAAGATAAATGTATTTAAAAATAACGAATATTGTATAAAAACACAATACAGAACAATAGAATGTAGTGCAATAAACTTGTTTTATTAATAAGTTTAATGTACAGCATTTACCTTGGAGATCAAACGACTTAAAGATGCTGATGGAGTTGGAGGAGAAAGGCTGAACTGAATAACTGAATCTTATTTGCTGATTTTTGCCCTTTTCGCCACACTTTCATCTATAGGAGTTTTCGATAAAAACCTGTCCAATGAGACCTGTTTCATCCTCCCTTTCAGAATATTTCTGAAATGAGTTAGGCAAGTGTCATTACATAGCTCCATCGCACGCCCAGTTGCAATTTTTTCTGGGTGTTACTTTTGAATAAAGCCTGAAAGTTTCTCCTACATTCCCAACATTTCCTTTATCTCACTTACAGAGATAACCTCCTCCTCCTCCTCCGTGTCATCTATTTCCTGCAAAACCTCCGTGTGCTGCTGCGTCTATAGCTCCTTTAGCTCCTGCGTTGTCAGGTCCTCGGAGTGCTCCTGGATGAGCTCGTTGATGTCACCTTCCTTTACATCCGCGCTCGCTGCCTCACCATGTCTGACAACGGAGTGAATGCCGGTCCTCTTTTTAAAATTTTCGAACCAGCCCCAACTGGCTTTAAACAGCTCGCCCGATGCCTCATCCATTGAAGTGCCTGGGGTCTGCTGCAGCAAATCAGCGTAAATAGCTCGTGCCTTCTCGCAGATTATAGTCTTCGTCATGGTATCTCCTGCAAGCTGCTTCTCCATATTTTCATGGATAGATGTCCGCTGTTTAGAAATTATTTTAACGCCCTTGGCTGGAGTTGTAGCTTGTATCGACTCCTGCTTCAGTATGGCAGATCGTAGAAGTGCTGCGCTCGTACTGCTTCACCAAGTCGATTACACGCACACCTCGGTCATGTTTTTCGATAATTTCTTTCTTTAATTCAATGCACATCATCCGCTTCATCTTCTCAGCACTGTCCTTCGCACTTACTTTCTTCAGATCCATGGTTGAAAAAACGAAGTTTTGCAAAAATAACTGCAAGCACAAATGCGAGCACAACACTGATGCTTCAACTAAGAGCTAATCGCTTAAAGTGAACGAGTGAGACACGTGATGCTGGGCTGATGTTGTGGCGTACACTGTGATGTTCGCTGCACCAACTAGCGGTGGGGTATCTGAAGCTGGCTCGTAACCCAAATTTTAGCTCACAACTCAAAGCAAAAAATTGGCCGAGAGACGGCTCGTATCTCGAAAAACTTGTAAGTCAAGGCCCCACTGTATTGTGCTTAATGAGGGATTTGTTGTTAGCTGGTGCTGGAGTATGCATGAACTATGACCCTAAAGTTGGGGTTCTAACATTACTGCAGGTCATCAGCCCCCAAGGGGAGCCTCAAGAGGCCTAAGATGTCCTGAAACTGGAGACTCTTTGTGTAGGTGCACAGTTTGCGGGAATAATAGGGTTTATAGGGTTCATTAGAGTATCTCCAGAGTTCATGATCCAAAAAATGAGTCTCTGAAGGGAAACAGCAGGAGACAAAAATAAAGCAGGCGTGAGAAATGTCCAAATGGCTTATCGGGAGCAAGAACTTGCCCTGCCTTCTGGACACCTTATCTGGGGTCCTCTCCATGGAATTTCCTCCTTCATTTTGTAGTCCTTCAGGCCTTTCATTCAGTTTCTGGGAAGCTGGACTGCTCTCTTCATAAACATAGAACCTTTTAGAATGAGTGGAAATAAATATGTATGAAGCAATCTTTACAGCAGGCTTTCTTGGTGGCCCCCCAGTTACTCTTCCATTATGACACACTTGATGGAATCTGAAAATTATTCTGCTAGGATGGAATTTGGCATGATGAGTATATATATTTTCATAAGGAGGTGATTCATGGCAGAGAAATAATTCCTAGTCTCTGTGATGAAATTAGCAGGTTAAAAAAAATTCTTGGAACTATTATGACAAAGAATCCTAATTCTCTCTTATTTTCTGTTTCATTTCCCAACACATTCCTGCCCCATCAGATGGCATAGACCTGTTTTTATAGGTAGAAATCTTTTGTCATGTAGGAAAGGCAAGGCTAGGGATTAGAGTTGACAGTTGTTCTGAGGCAGCCTATTAACGGGAAGAGACCATGTGTTAGAGACAGATGGCTGGGTGCTGGCCATAGTACTGTCTCTGATTTGCCCAGTAGCTTCAATCAGGTTGGTCTTTTTGGGTCTCATCTGTAAAGTGGGAATGATGATTCCGACCCTCCATATTTCATCAGCTCCTTGAGAGGTTCAAGTGAGAATAGAAGAGTGCTTTGTCGGTAAGGAGATGCTGTCTCTTCTGCTCTTGCATCTTTTAATGGTGCTGTAGGTATTGGTGTTTGATGAGGATGTTTAAGGTGGGAGGTTGTGAGGTCATTACTGTTTAGTGGCAGGTTAAAATTCTTGAGTGGAAAGTGTTGTATTAGAGAACAAGCAGCGTAGAGGGGGTTCATAGAACATATTCAGCATATAGGTTTTTGTATTTTTTTGTAACCAGATCAGTGAACACAGTTGTATGGACCATTTGTATGGACCATCTCTTAAGCATGGAAATAGGTTTTTAATACTTATTCATAGTGATAACATTTTACTTGTTGTCCTTTAACCTAAAAAGAAAGGGGCTGGGCTTAAAAAAAAGGAATTGGGTTAGAAACAACTGTATCTTTTAGTCTTTTACTGAAGCACATCCATTCCTGTTTCCCCTCAGCTCCCAAGCCTTTATTGTGGCTGTCTCTGAATGTTTTTTTTAATGCCATGTGTATCATGATTGCATTTGTAATCAGTTGTTTTTAAACAAAGTTCAGTGTTCCTGATTCTGTTTTCCATTCCTCATTGATGAACTACCTAAGCTCTTAACTCTGAAGCTACAATAAAATCTTTTGTTAGCTATCCTGCATAGTTGTCTCATATCTGAATTGTCAAAAAATAGCCTTCTTATTCTGTCTGCTTTCATCTAACACTTAGTTCTTAAACGTTTTGGTCTCAGGACTCCTAGGTGTTATTAAACATTATTGAGTACCCCAAAGAGCTTTTTTTATGTAGGTTATATCGATATTTACCTTCATAAAAATTTATAGTGAAAAAAATGAAAGTATTTAATTTATTTAAAGGTAACACTAAATCTATTGCATGTTAACATAAATAAAATATTTAACTATTTAAAAAATTTTAGTGAGAAGAGTGGCCTTGTTTTATATTTTTGCAAATCTCTTGCATGTCTGGCATAATAGAAGGGAGTGAATTCTCATATCTGTTTCTGCATTAAATCTCTAGTTTTGGTTGAAGAATATGAAGAAAGTCCAACCTCACATAGATGTGTAGTTGGAAAAGGGGGGCAGTATATTAATAATATTTTCAGACATGGCTGGTGTTTCTCAGTGGTTAGAGTTTCAGCCTGCTCTCTGTGAAAGGTCTTGGGTTCAATTCCTGGTTTAGGGCACATAGCTGGCTTGAGGGTTTGCTCCCATCCTGGGGTGTACAGCACATTGGAGTGGCAACCAGTGGATGTATTTTTCGCACATTGATGTTTCTCTCTTTCTTTCCCTTCCTCCCTTCCTTCTCTCTCTGAAAAGCAGTGGGGGAAAAGTGTCCTCTGGTGAGGATTAACAACAACAAAATCTTTTCAGATAATTGTGGAAATTCTTTGATACTACATCACAGTCCCAGTTAAGGTTAGTTGCAATGTGGAATCTCAGACTCAGTGAACTTTTTGTGCTCTTGTATATTAGCATTCATTGGTTTATTTTGCACTTGGAAGGGATCTTTTCACCAAGGTGTGATTGGTCATTTGGAAAATACTGCAGATCTTGTAAATTTTGACACACATTTCATCATATAGTATCAAAATCACAATCTCACCAGAAAAGCCCCAGGAAGCTGTTAAGCTCACAGTGATGGATACAAGTGTTTAAAAAATTCTAAGTTTTGTTTGAGGGCATGAGTCTTATCATTGCTAACAAATGCTTGTCAGGCTCACTTTGTTTATTTTTGAGAAAATATATGTCAGAGGCCTAAGGTTGAATTACTTTAGTTTATCTGTTAGCTGTTCTTTCAAGTAAAAGTGGTAGTCCATGAAGAAAGTTGCTAATTCAGTTCAAAATTCAGAGAAATTGCACAAGTGCTTTTCCTCAAGAAAATCATTGTGCTTAGGTAAGGAACAGAAGTGCTGTATGCATACATCCATTGAATAGCATTATTGAAAAGATCTGTACTTAAATAAAACAATTTTTAGTGCTTCACCAAGGACTTCCTTAAGTAGAACAGGTATTTTTTTTCCTGTGAATGGGTGGCAATGAAGAATAAAAACCTTGATTGCTAATACAATTTAGTGCCATTGCTTAAAATTGTTAAGACAGTAACAATTTTACCTGTCATTTATTTTTCTTTTTTTCTTTTCTTTATTGGTTATGTCATTACTTTTATATCAGTGCAAATGTCATCACAGTAACAGGGCAAATAATATCTTATTATTATGAAAATAGAGTTTTGATCTTAGACCACCCCCACCCCCACCCCCAGAAGGGTCTCAGGGATCCCAAGGGCTCCACAGGCCACACTTTGAGAAATACCGATCTAATCATACATGCTCACAGCACTGAGAATCTTTCCCTGCTGGATTGCTATTCTGAGAGCACCCTTCCTTCAGAAGTCTTAAGTATCTCCCAAATCCTTCACTCAACAAAAGCACCTATTATGTGCCAGGCTCTTTGTTAGGGAATTAACATTGAATAAGATACAATCTGTATTCTCCAAGAATTTTCTTGGGCGGTTTGGGGACCAAAGGCAGAAAATAAGTAAGGAGTTATAATGTAAGGTAAGAATTTCTTAAAAAGAATAACGTTAAAGGTGATAGACAACAAAGGGAATGCTGAATTTTATATCTAACTTCGAACTCGAGCCACATGACAAAATCCTCACCAAATCAATCAATCACCAGGTCCTTTCCTTCCATCAAATCTCTTTAAAATGTCCAAGTTAATTGCCTTTGGAAATGTTTTCACACATAATTGCGCTCGGCTCCAGGCATTGTAGTTTCATGCTTAGACACGCAGTGCTGTTTCCCCCTTCTTACTTTACTGTTTTTTGGCCTTTGTGCGTCTCCATTTCATATTTCCAAGTGGGTAGCCTTGTGCCAGTGTAGCTGATAACGCATATGTCCTTATGTTTAAATGTAAGCCTTTACCTGCGTTAGTCATGTGCTGGGTGATGTAACAGTGTCGGTCTTACTTGGGGGACCGTCACCGCGCACGAGTTAGGTCAGGACCATGCACCCGACGCTGCCCGGGAAGGAACCTTCTCCGAGACAGGAGGCTCGTCCGCTTCCCTGTGGTCTCCATCCCCTCCACCTGCAGAACGACCGTCCTCAGTTATCGGAGTGAAACTTCCTCGAGGGGATTTCCATAAAACAGCTGAATCCCGCCTCGATCGTCAGCGACAAAAGTCAGACACGTGCTCTCCCGTCTGGAAGCCAGCAGTAACTTTTGGCAAAGGCGCACGGCTCGGAGGCTGCTGCGTTCGCAACAAACCACCCGGTTAAAACTTGAGTCTTTTAACAGAACAAAACAAAAGCATAGACGGGGTAGTGAGAACGGCTTTCCCCCGTGGCGGTGGTGAGAGATGTTAAAGGAGCTCCAAAAAGAGTGCGGGGAACTAATGGAATATTCCTTCACTGTTCCACGGCTGAGGGGCGAGGGAGAAGGAAACGGCGATGGGCTAAGCTAGGGAGTCTGGCCCTTTAAGGAGGAGGGACGGACCGAAGACTCGGTACCTTGAGAGACTCTTTGTCTGGAAACCTCCTTATTTACCCCTCTTGTGCTTCAACCAAACTTCGATGCGCGATTCTTAGCGTCCCTCTACGCCGCCGCCCCTTACGCTAGGCTCAAGTTGGCCTTGCGTTTATGGTTGACCCTAAACTTTGCGCCCGCGGCGCGAACCCTGGGAGCGGACGCCGGGGTCTGGGCCCAGCGCTGCGCCGTTGGCGCAATGCGGGGGCCGGGGGCGGGGCTCCGGCGTGCGCACCAATGGGTGGGAAGGGGGCGGGGCCGAGTTCGGTTGTCTCGCGTCCGGGTGACAGCTCGCGCGTG